GCGCGTGGAGCGCCCCGGCCCCAAAACGGCACCGCGGAGCCGCGGGAGGGGGCCTCACGCAGGCGGCCGAGGCTTCGGGAGGAAGCGGCGCGTCCTGTCAGTCAGGCGGCGCGGCACCGCCATCAGCCGGCTTTTGGCCTGGTAATCCCATCGTTTCTCTCTCGAGTTTTAACGGCATTTTAATCTGTGCTCTGTGATTGTTTCTAACGTGTGCTCTGGGAGGGCTTGCAGAAGTCGCCCATCCTTTTTCCCCCTCGCAGCCCCTGGGACGCCCCGCAGCCTCCTGCCCGCTCCCGCCGGGAGAAAGGTGGGCTCCTCCGCACCAGCATCGACCCACAGGCCGTCACCAAAACTCGGCTTTCTTGGGCTGTTCTCATCCCGATTCCACAGTCATCACACAGCGGTAACATACGAGATCAGGTCAAACAAGGGAATGTCCCTCCTCCCATCCCTCCCCGCCGTACGCCGGGAATACAATCAGGGAATGCAGTCATGACCTTCTCTGGGGGACAGCACGACATTTTCCACCCAGACTTTTAACTACACCTAACCCTGCCTACAGCAGAGAACACACCGATGCCTTCAAACACACACGTGTGCCTATATATTGTGGGTCCCTGCCCAGGCACTGAGCTTGCAGGGCTGATCACTAGTTAAACCTCTTTCTGCTCCAATTACATCTCTCAGACAGACGCTGCCTCCACCCCAGATGCACACAAACATTTTCTGAGCTTCATCAATCTGTACCTAGGCTGAACTGGCTGTTGGGGAATAATCAAATTCATGTGGACTGTAATGAATGGCAAATCTCATCTCACACACGTGTGAAAAGAACAAAAATAAATACTGAAACAAGAGGCAAAATTGAAAAAAAAAACTTCAAAGTTTAGACTAATTCTTAGAAACAGGAAGCTTTTCCATATTATATTTGTGAACAAAAATCTTTGCATTGATGCTGCTTTAAGCTACGTCAGACCGCTTTGCTAGCGTTACTGTAATTTCCCTGTAGTCAAAAGGCAAATCGGATCCTTTGGGGGTTTCTGTTAATAATTAGACGTAGATGGAAGAATTTTTAAACACAAATTCACTGACTCAAGGAAAGCAACTGACTTATCAAGATTGTAGTTTAGTAATACTTAGCTCTAACGTTCTGAGCCTTTGCACACTAACTACAATTTTCTACCAATTCTTATCTAAGGGAGAAGAGTTTTGCTCCACAAGCTGCTACGACAGAACGGTTTGACTAGTATTCTGATTGCTGTTTCTAAACTTAATAGCGCTGCTCCTGTAAATTACAAAACAACTTTACGAGCAGGTATGAGGTGTAAATTGATACTCCTATTTCACCGGATTAACAGAGACTAACTTTGAGTAATGACTATTGCAAATAAAGAACATTTTCTCTTCTAGCCAAAATAAACTTCCACTGCTTTTCAGGCAACACTGAGCTGTATTTTGGTATGAGATTTGGGGGTTTTAATACATATGTAATGCTGGATGGAATTATGACAAAGGGATTACAATTTTACTGCTGGGAGGAAAAAAAAAAAAAGCCTAATTCGTTACTGTAGTCATCCAGCCTGGCTTACAGAATACAGTAAGAAACTACCACATCGACATTTACAAAAACAAACCCAAACTTCTTTAAAACTGGCAACTTAAGAACATGTGGAGCCTCTGTGATACAGACAGGAGACCAGACCATGTGGTGCACAGCCAGGTTCCAAAGAATAACTCCATTAAATCTGCAGGCATGTTTTCTTCTCTAGGTGATTAATTTTTTCCCTACCCCCAAGGGAAACTAATGGGACACCTCTTTAGTTATTAGAAGATATTCAAAACTATATTACAGTATCAGTATGTGAATATAGGACAGATTTAGATGACAACATTTTACAACGTGGTAAAATACAATCTCCCTGAAAAAGAAAAATTATTAGAATACATTATCATCAAGCCTGGTCATCCAGGTCCTGTTTGCAACTCTGCCGCTGGTTTAAAGTGGGACTTTCCACAAAATAGTTACATCTGTTTCCCCGTTTGTAAGTTGGCAGTTACCAATACTTCTCTTCCTCATACAACTGAGGACACACAGAATCAAGTTAAGCTCTGGTGCAGAAGCAGAGACGTCCAGTGAAGACAGTTAGATCATGGATTAACTCTTCTGTTTGTAAAGTGCGTGGCATAATTAGCATGTACCAAAAGGAAAAATGGACTAAAAATGAGCCCTTTGAAAGAGATACAGAGTGAGAGCTGAATGTCTTGCACTAAGGTTATGTATTTAACAGTTTTACATGAAATATTTATATATAAAAACTTTAAGTGCTTTTCTCCAATTTAAAAATCTAAAGAATTCAAAAATAAGGCATTCAATATTTGAAAAAGTACAGATTTACAAAATGTGTGTATTCTGTCATGAAAACTCCACACCAACATTATACACTTGGAAAAAAAATACAAACAGGATATATTACAAATTTATGTAGCAATAACTTAGTTCATACCATGCAATAAAAAGTACGTTAATCAAGATACACAAGCTTTTAAGTTTCCTAAACTGGAGGGCTTAATTTTGTCTGCAAATGAGGTTTTATGCAAATTCATAGAACTGTGGCACTTGAAATTTCTGGTAGCCTTTCTATTGAGAGTTAAATTGTACATAATGATTATGAGGATGGAGAGTAACAAAGCAGCTGTTACGAATCGTTCCAACTTTGTTCGACAATAGCTGAAACTCTTTTCTCATATTCACGTTTGTTCTCCTGATAGAGTTGTGCCGCCTGACTGTTTGCTGGACTGTTTGGATTAGGTTCATCAAGCAGAGACTGTAAAAAGGGGAAAACAAAACATGAGAGAAACCAACACATTTTAAATCAGGGAGAATCAACTTACAGCTTTCAATTCACATGTGTTTCAGGAGGCAGACATGACTCAGAAGAGCCCAATTGAAAAAAAAACAACAGTTAAACTCATGGTTAGGCACCCATAATTACACTACTGAACCTCAAATTATACATTGCCTAAGTATTAGCACTGTGTACACTTCTAGGTTCACAAACCTAACAGATACACGGTCATTTGTGCCAGTTAGCAGTATGATGCTGATTGACTGTTTGGTAATTACACTACTATTGTCATTCAGGACTAAAGAGGGGCTTAAGATGCCTCCTACAAAACTTCACTGCAGAAAAATAAAAACAATCACACAGGAGAAAAGAAAATGTACATCTTTGCTGTGCCAGGCCATTCTTACTTATTCCAAGTAAAGTAGGTTTCAGCAGTATTGCCTCCTTGAGGACTTCATAGGGCAAGGCCTCACAATAAAGGTTAGTGTTTCAAACCCCAGGCAAATTTCTACCTCTGATGTCCTATCGTGACTAAAACCAGTTAAAAAGGAATTTAAATCAGTAACTGTTTTCCTGTAAAAAAATATGTGATGGCAGTTTTGTAGCTCAAAATTAGTAATTACGTAGGTCAGCACCTTAGCCTTTACTTGATCTAAAAAGCTACTGCTTGGCTCACAAGTATTGAAAGTCCCCCTTGACATAGACACCTGCTAGCCACATCACTGAGCTGTGTGTTCCGGAATAGAGACTAACAACAACAAAATTATTGGCTGAAATAGATGTAAAGTTACCTGAATTGAAGTTAAAATAGATGAAACATCATACGTTGGACTCCAGCGATTCTGAAGAATATCTAAACATATGCTACCATCCGCATAAACTGTAAATACAACACAGATACCATTTAGAAACCGTCAGATTTATTGTATGGTTTGTTCATTACATACTGTTCAAGGCAGAGTTACGGTTCCAATTCAGACTGTGCTTAAATGAATGGTTTAGGAACGAGGACAGCAGTTATGTCTCACAATTCTCTGTAGTGTGACACCTTATATTTTGAAGGAGATATATTACTGGAAGCAACGGAACGCTTAAGAGGAAAAGAAGGAAGGTCTAAAGATTATGGCATTGGCACAGGAACTGGTAGAATTGGTTTGCTCCTCTTGTGCGACTCGCCCAGACAGACACAGAGGTGAGGCCTCACAGAGGGCAGCGAGACATTTACAGCAGGGGTGGAATCCCTGCACCAGCTGAGCATCTCACAGTCCCAACGGACTCACACATGAATGGAGGGATTTCTTACCCAATTTCACATACTCTACACTCGCTGGGAGAGACACTAAGGCAGGCAATAGAAAATACTCAAAAGTGTGCCTGAAATCCTACTTCTGTCTGGATACCTATCCGTAGTCTTAATCTAAGGGTCTGTATGAAACTGAGATTGGCCAAACTCCTACACCCTAGTCTTCTAGCTCGTTCGTGCCAATGAAAAGCAACAAATTACAAAAACCCTGTCAGAGGCATAGTGGCCTGCATATTATGTGACAGATGAACAGTTAGACAGCACTGTCTAATTCACTCATGGAACTGAAGCCAAGGTCACCACTGTTCAAGGAGGGCTCAAGCTACAAGAAATGCTGCAATGGGCTTATGCTTCGACCCTCAAATTGCATCTATAGCCCCCTTTGCTACAGAGGGGCTTGGAAAAGCAAAAGGCACAGTTTACGTTTTCTGCATGCAAGAATAATTGGATAAAACCGATCAAGTGCTGGAGCAGGAACCATGGCACTCTCTCACAATGCTGCCTTATCACCAAGTTCAGGTCAACCTCCTCCTCTACGCTCCCCTATAACTGTGCGTTCTCCCCTTCCTCCTTGTGCTGGTTCACTGGTTGGCACAGCGAACCAAAGGCACGGACTTGGCTGAAATCTCACCTGACAGAAGTAAGTAACATTTGGCTCGATCGGTTCCCTACTCCACGATGGGGCTGCACACACACGATTGCTGTTAATGGAAGGGGGCAGGAATCTGCAACCAGAATTGCCTCTTTAAGCCAACCTAAGTGCAGCTGCTGCTGAAAACACTAACAGGCTTTGCTACTGAGGCTGTATATTGATTAGAAAGAGACAGATAGCTGCTTCTTAATAGCATCATAATTCTTAATTTTTTTATCAAGCAGTTGCTGTCCTAGACATCTACTTAGGAGGTGGCAATGAAGAGACATGGAGAGCTCTTAAGCATTCTGGAGCTTCGCAGAATACATGACCACACCATAATATTTAATGGGTATTATGGCTAAATAAAAAAGATTTACTCACCATTTGGATGGAACATTTTTGATAAAAACCTTACAGTTGGAGGCTTATTTGGATATTCTTCTGAAAATTCTATTACTAGTTTAAAAGTACCTGTCCAAACAGACATAGATACAATCAGATAACTAACAAAAGAACACCTCCAAGAACATACACAACATAAGTTAATTTATGTGCCCCATGATCAATATTTCTTCTCACCATTATATAAACAAACAACACTGAGTCTGGTTTCTTTTCATATATTTCAAGTTATAATGGAACTATGGAACTACTACTTAGTGATAGCAATAAAACCACCAGCAGCAGCTAGGTAGAAGCCTGGAGACTCACTGTATGCGTGGCAAAGGCAGCTAGATCCAGCATCAATTACCCCACTGCCCTCCCCTTTTTCTGTGACCCGATGTGCCGGTTCCACGGACTTTGGTGACTTTAAGGTGTTTCATTAAGAAGGCACTGTGGTGCCAGCAAAGAAACACTGGAATTTCATTATCAGCAATCACAGTCTTTGGAGCTCATGACTGATTCACTGAAAACCTTTATTATGGATCAGTGAATAATTTACTGTAACTCCTCCAACCCAACACAGAGGAAAAACCCATCTGCTGCCGATTACTGCAATAATACTGTGATTATTTAAACTCATTATTCCTCATATGCCTAAGGGAGGTTCATTACACACCAACTTTCATGTTTACGTACAAATTCGGTATTCCCTCCCCCTCACCGAGTTCTATATTCAGAACAATTCAAGATTTTTCACCTGTTCTTCATTAGGAGAACAGAGATGAATCAAACATGCCACAAAGATGAAACCAGAAAAGCACACTGTCTTGTTGAGCTTAGCTATGGAGCTGTGAAAACACATCTGGCAGCATTAGGCCAACTTCCCCCACTAAAAACTCTAGTGTATACCTACAAACAAGTCTTGATATAAGCATTGCTTCATAGCTTTCTAACTAACCATCAACCACCACGACAAGACACTGCTTATATCAAAATACATATTTTTATAGCCAACAAGACCTTACTCCCTCACTTGCTTGCTTAGTTTGTTCCAATAACATCTATTGTTTTTTCAAAGCAGAACAGTGTTAATACTGGCAATATTTGTAAGAGTGACAGAGGATATAAAAGTTAGCAGCTTACCATCTTCAAAAGGTGTCCCTTCTGGCCTGAAAGGTTTTAAAAATAAACTCCAGTTAAAAATGATCATTGCCTACTTCTAAACAGGCACAATAAATTTATATCTAATTCCTCGTCCTCCACAAGATATAGGTAGAGGCAATAATTTAAATACTTAGAGAAGTATCCAGAGGCAACCTCTGGGAGCTTTGTCATATCCAAGACACTTTCCCCACAGTCAATCTGCTAGTCGAGATAGCTACTTTATCATCATCCCAAACAATACATATGCCATTACGTGACTAGATTGGAATTAATGAGCAAATTACTAGCAAGCATACTTCAGTTTTATGAAAGGATACTAAGCCAGTTCCTGTTCTGTAGGATATGTAATGCAACTTCCTAGACAGAACCTGTACCTCGTTCTACTGGGAATTGATCCAATCACTGCTCATACATCTGGATTTAATGGCCAAGAACACGCAGCTCTGATGTACTTTAAAGAAGAAGCCTGCTTTTTCATAACCCAACTCCTACACAGCCTAACCTATTTAAGCCGTATGCAAACTTTATTCAACAAAGAAGATGAACAAATTTTAAATTTTTCTTTCCTAGACATTCCGTATTACCCTTGAAAACAGATTTTTACCATAACAGCACACTTCGTCATTTTTCGAAGTTTCCTGACTTTATGTACATAAAAGAGGAGAATAATTGTAAAAACAAAACCCAGGTTTTGTTATATTTAGCCCTTTGATATAGAATTTGATAGTGATCAAAAACCCTTACCCAAATATAACCGCATTCCATTGCATTATATTATTCTCAGATGGTGCACCACTGACACCCACAGGAGGGTCTTCTTGCAACCTAAGAATTACAAATATAGAATGACAAGCTTGATATAAACAAAATTTACTTGCAGGTGGAAGTATTTAAACAGTAATACCCAGATTTTGTAAATATCTTCTCATTCCAAAACAGAGAATACAGAAAGCATTACACACAGATTATCAGTACTCCAAACAACAAACCTACAAGACAACGCATATCAAGATTTTCTCATGTACTACATCAACACGCTACAACAGCCCCACAGGTTAGATTAAGTGTGCAGGGAGCAAAGCATTAACCATACAAATAATTTAAAGCACCACGTACAGCTGGGATTTACAGTACTACACAGTGAACTATGAAAGAGCCATTGCTGCTGGCTGCCACAACTAAGAGGAGAACAAACTGCAGCCACAAACAGGGGCTGAAAACCAGCCAGTGACACTTACACAGCACACTGCTGGGACTAAGTGCAAGGGACTGTCAGCGGAGCTTTTCCTGCGTTCCCAGATCCGTGCACACGATGTGGCTAAATTTGGTATAAGCCTATTTTGACTGGCAAGCTGATTGCTTCAAAAGGGAGTAAGGGAAAAACCTGCGTACTGCTCCCTCTTACCAGTTCAGCAAATGTGTTTATCTCTAAAGTAATCACAGAAGCATTTTAAATTCTTTTTAGTTCCTTAATCCTTGGACTAGGGAAAAGCACGTTACTTACTGAAGCCACGTAAACTTAGACCAAACAGAAATACATATCGCAACCAAAGAACAGGATCCAGGTACTCTCCTTCTGCCCATCCTTCTGCATACCCATGTTTCTGCTTAAGGATCACATAAGACCCTGAGCAGCGTAAGCCAGCAAGCCCCAATCACCTGATGAGCAATTTGCCCGATCAAGCCCTCCAGTGACAGCTCCTACCCACCCCGCCTATTCAGCCTCTTGAGTTATGCAAGGATAAAGAAAACGCAGCGTCTGCCCTTGCTTCAAAAGCAATTCTTTAGTGTTAACACGAGGTTCGACCACATCACAGTACACTTACGAACAAGTCACCAGCAAAAGCCCGGCAGACCAAAGGGACAAATTCCAACTAAACGTCGGTGTGTAAATGCAGATTTATTCAGAGCTGACACTGGTATACAGCCAGCAAATTCTCCTGCACTTGCACTGCCTAAGTCTGTGATAAAACTGCACGTGTACACGGATGCTGAGCAATGGCGTTGCCCTACAGAGACCGCCCAGAAGCAGGGCTCGCTCCGTTTGCGGCTCAGATCCCCTCTGAACTCTGTGTTTACATCCTTGCTCTCCCAGCACAGGCAGTTCAGACAGCTTAGTATCAACAGCATAAACCACCTACTATTTTGGTCAGGGAGAGCAGGAACGGGACTTCTTCCTACGTGACAGCCAGGCTTCACGCCAACAATAATGCCTAAGCATTCAGCCTGTCAAATGCACCTGAAGGATGGCTTTGGTTTTTAGATCAATTTAAAAGCTCATGTGCACCCTACTGTCCAAGGGTCTAACTACAGAAAGGTTGCGGCAAGGGCTGGAAATTAGACTGATCCAGCTAGGGGAAATGTAGTATTTGTAACCCCTTTTTATCAGCAAAAATAAAAAAAACCCACAACTTATTTTTCTATTGGCTTAGTCAAACAAATTAGAGGAGATACAAAATCTGTTGAACTGCTCTCTCTTCACTGCTCTTGACAATCACAGCATGCAAAAGGAGTTTATATTTAACGAAGTGAATCAGAGTCCACAGCAGACAGTCTGCTTTTCCAGTATGAGGTACAAGTAACATAAGGCTAAACAAAAATACAAGTTATGGTAGGAAAGAGAAAAGTAAAAAAACCTGACATGAAAAAGTTGCATAAGTTTCAGGGTATTAAAGTTGTCATATATTTGATAAATAAATTTGATTTACTTTGTGTTTATTTGGTTATACTTTTCTACAGCTTTAAAGTCTTCTCCCCACCTTAAATTTCAAAATTACTAAACCAGTCCTACTAAGATTATAAAAATCATTAAAAAGCATGCCTCATTGCAATCCTGAAACGTTACTTAGTTCCTCATCCTGAAAAAATCACTGGTTCATGTCATCTGTGTAACCAAATACAATAAAAAAAGACTGAATGTCCTGGTTTGATATGAACAGCAATCAGGCAACACCTGCTTAGCAAACACAAACACCCAAATACAACAGAAGAGGTAGGCTCCACACCTCAAAAACATCCCAACGTTTTGTAGATTCACAAACCAGGCTTTTACCACTGCAGCTTTACGTGCAGCCACATAAAGCAACTACAATAAGCGTCAACTGTTTACTGATGTATTTTCAGGTACTGGTATAACATAGCTACGCTAAAAAAAGAGACGCTATCAAAGCTGACTCACCTCCAACAACTTATGAGCAACTGCAGTCCACAGAAATCATACGACATATCGCAAAGCCGACAGAAGCACCCCCCACCTTTTTCCATGCTCTCTGTTGTAAGTGTGTTTACATGTCAGACTGGAAATAAATTATTCTAGAGTCTGCGGTTCAGTCATTAACATTTAAAAGAGTGCAACTAATAACTGCTTCTTTAGCAGTTTCTATATATTATACAAAAGATTCCTCATGATTGAAAACTTTAGACAGAATAGCATGCGCGTAAAAACATTAAAGGGCATTTTGTTTTTTATTACATACAGACAAACGAAGCGTTTGCTAATTCTTTGTGCTTCGTTTTCAGATGTCCATCCCGAGTACCTGTTTTCGGAGAGACCATCAACCCAACAAGCCTCAAACGCGTCTAAATTCTGCCTGGTCTCTTCAGAAACGTGGGGCAAACACCTTCGGCGTTCAGCAGCTCTGCGAGGAGGGGGGGTGCGGGAAGCAGAGCACAACCCCTCAGCCCCGGCCAGCTCTGCACCGCCGGGCCCTGCCAGGGCACGGGCACCCGCACGACG